GTGTGTGTGTGTGTGTGTGTGTGTGTGTGTGTTTTGTGGAGATAGAGAAGGATCTTGGCAGTATTAGCAGCCTATTGAAACACATTTTTTGGATTGCATTACTTCCAGTGGGTGAGTAAAAGAGAATGATTTCTCAGGGTAAATGATATTCTTAGAACACACAATGCAAGACAAGAGGGTTCTTATGTACTATTCAATTCCTGAATAGCAGCAGTTTGGTAGACAAAACAACTTTTTTTCCAGGCTCATTGAAATAATCAGCAAATTTTAGAGGCAGGCTCCTCCTTGTTCTCCCACTCTGAAGGTAAAATAAATAAGAACTAAACTTCTGTACCCAGAGACCCCTCCCTGCCGTCTTACTTCAATTTGTTTTAAGCCAGAGAGTACAGAGGCAGAGTCAGGCAGCTTTCTCTATTACCAAGAAATTAGCTAAGCAAATTTACATGGGCAAAATATCTCAGTGAAATAGTAACTCCAAGAAGAACAATTTTCCAACATGTAGCATCATTTACTTACAATAACAATTAATATGCTAATCCTAATGCAACTTTTCAGGAGGAGATAGGCGTATTCATTTATGGCTATTAGAAGTAAGAGAAAACATTTCCTGTGTTATGCTGTAATTCAGATTGTACTTACTTAGTGGAGAATTTTTTTTTCCAATTTCTCCCAATTACATGAAGGTTTTAATAGACCTATATAAATATTTAACAAATTCTAATAGCATTACCATCCACCCTAACTAGCCTGCAGCTGTTTTCAATAGACCCCTTATTTTTTGTGATGGATATATTATCTGCTCATTCTTGACATTGTAGATTGAGTAAACAGAGAGAAAAAAAATAATGCATGTTTGTGGGTTTGGCCAGCAATAAAGCCAGTCTGGGATTCAGGCTTTTGGATTCTGGTCTCCTGGTCAAGAAAGAAGGAGATGGTAGAGGCACCTGTCTCCTCCAAGCGCACTGAGGCTGCCACCCCCGTTGTACAAGAACCTGGAGAAGTGAGTTACTGAGTTCATTCTGAGAGACAACTGAGCAGGACAAGGACTTTGTCCCTGGCTCTGGTGACCCATGTGTCCCTCCCTCACACACCTGCCTCCTCTGCCCAGCTGATGAACGGGACCGGCTCACCTGAGCAACAGAGACTCGTGGTAGAGGTAGTGCTGGCTGGCATTTCTCCGGATGCTTCTATAGCGCTGGGACGCCTTCGAGGTTTTCATGGGAGCTGACCCACTGCCAGTGATCAGAAGTTGGCCAGGGAGCTGGGAAGGGTCTGCTCCAGCCGAGGTTTCTGACCAGGAGCTGCGGAGTTGCTGTGCCCTCCAGTTCTTAGGAGCAGGACTGTGTGCTTGCAGCTGGAGCTCAGAGCAGGGAAGAAGCCAGGAGGCCAGTCATGCATATGTAATGTTAAGGTGGCTGCAGCAGTACAGATTGGTTGGAGTCTAGACGGCCACAGGTGGGAGGCTGGGCCCAGTGAGTTAGGGATCACTTGGTGCTGCTCAGACAATTGCATCCATAACCCCTTGTGCCCAGACAGGGCTCTGTGGTTTGCAAAGCACTACATCTATGACCATGGCTGGTGTTCACAAAACACTTACCAAGTACAAAAGACAAGGCTTCTCTTCCTATTGTTATCTTTTAGGAAGAGCCTTAACAAGAGAAGGATCTTGCTCTTGTTCACAAAGCAGTATCCAGGGGGGCATAGCCATCACATTTTACACGTTTTTATTTATTTTTTCCCAGTTTTTGTTCTATTTTGGAAAAAAGTCTAACCTACAGAAATGTTCATGAAACACTGCCACAGAGTATCTGTGGACTCTTACCTAGATTCACCAATTGCCACGCTTTGCCATAACAGTGGCATTTCTGTCTCTATATTCTCTATACATTTTTCCCTACACCCTTGGAAAGTAGGTTGCAGAAATAATGGTACATCAACCCTAAATACTTCAGCATGACATTGATATTAATAATTAATATTCATGATGACAAAATATGCATTTGATCATATTTACACTATGTAAGGTCATGACCCTAAGAGACTGAGGCTAAAAGAAATTAAGAGGCTTCCTGCCGGGCTCGGTGGCTCAGCCTGTAATCCCGTGCCTTTGGG